GCGCCGCCTCAGAACTCGATTTTCTGGCGGCGGCCGGAACCGGCTCCGGACCCGGCCCGAGCGCCGGCCTGGGCGCCGGCTCCGGCGTGCAGCCCAGGCGCCGGCGGAAATGATGCCAGCGCTGCAGCGGGATCACGATTCGGAACGAGTGGGGCCCGAAAATGAAGCCGGCGCCCCAGCGAGAGCAGCGTTTTGGAACAAAAATGCAAGGAAAAAGCCAACTCCGGGGAAACCCGTGTGTAAAAAAACAATACGCGGGGGGGGGGCGGCTACTCCCAAGACGTCATCAGGGGAAGAGGGAGAGTATATTCAGATTGAATAATTGTGGATGGGGGGGAAGGGGGGGAGGGAGGGAGGCAAGCTAGGTGCGCTCGCGTCATATCTGACGTCCTACCCCTCCCTCCCATCCCTTACCATGGCGCTGATTTTCTCTATCCGCGGACGCGTGTCGTAGCGGACCTGTGGCTCCGCGCGCGCGTGCGTAGTGGGTGGTGGTGCGCGTGCGCGTGCGTGCGTGCGTGCGTGCGTGCGTGCGTGCGTGTGTGGTGTGTGGTTGTGGTGGTGGTGGTGGTGGTGGTGGTGGTGGTGGTGGTGGTGGTGGTGGTGGTGGTGGTGGTGGTGGTGGTGGTGGTGGTGGTGGTGGTGGTGGTGGTGGTGGTGGTGGTGCTGGTGGTGGTGGTGGTGGGTGGTGGTGGTGGTGGTGGTGGTGGTGGTGGTGGTGGTGGTGGTGGTGCGGCGCGGTGGTGGCGGGCGGATGGGCGCGCGAGAAAGAGGCCCGCGCTGGGGCGAGAACGCCATCCTGAACGACGGAGGCCAAACACCGATCCGAAAATGAGGCCCACGCTGCAGCGGGAGCACGATTCGGAACGATTCGGGGGCAGAAATGAAGCTGGCGCCTCAGCGAGAGCAGCATTTTGAAAAAAACACAAGCGAAAACCCGTTTCCCGGGAATCCTGTGTGTAAAAAAACAATACGCGGGGGGGGTGTCGGATATCTTCGGGACGCCATCAGGGGAAGTGGGAGAGTATTTTCATATTGTGTAATTGTGAAGGGGCGGGGGGGGAGGGCAGGGAGGAGGGGGAGGGAGGGACTGGGGGAGGGGAAGGGGGCAAGCTAGGTGCGCCCGCGTCATATCTGACGTCCTACCCTTCCCTCCCATCCCTTACCATGGCATAGATATCCTCTCCATTCATTCGCACAATCGGATATCGAGCAGGGCAACGATCGCGAGAGGGTACGCGATGCATGGTAGAGCACGGCATGGCATGGCGCAGAAAAACACGGCAGCGTAGCATGCCATAGCATGGTGTGTGATTGCGCAATAAAGCATAGCATCACAAAGCATTGCAACGCAAAGCATGGCATCGCACAGCGGCGCAGAACGCAACACCGCACAGCATGCCATGGCACGGCGCCGGGTTCCTTGGAGTGTAACGGATCGTCTTCGAGAGGTCCGGGCCGTCTGGAGTCGTGGCTGCCAGAGGCACAGAAATGGGGCCAGCGCTTGAGCGGGAACAGCATATTGACAAAAACCCCAGCGAAAACCCATTTGCTGGGAATCCTGTGCGAAAACAACAACACGCGGATTGGAGCGGGATACCTTCTGGACGTCATCAAGGGAGAGAGGAGAACCACATTCGCACTGTGTGATTGCACAAGGAGGAGGGGGAGGGGGGCAGGGAGGAGGGGGAGGGGCGGGAGGGGGGAAGCTTCACCATCGTCCTCCCCCTCGTGATGCGCAGTACGCAACACGGGGTCGGGTCGAGCAGAGCGCACAAGGGCGAACCCTGCGGGTGAACAGAGCTCAAGACCGACCAAGGAGAGAGAGAGAGAGAGAGAGATGGAGAAAGAGAGGGGAGGAGGCCAGAGTGGGAGCGCCTCCCCCCCTAACACCTCCTCCCTCCGCCTCCTCTCCCTCTTCCTTGTAGGCCTCCACGAAGGAGAACTGGTCATCGCTCGGACGGCCATTCCCCGTGCGTGTTTCGGCTTCGTGCGTGTATTCTTCGCAGGATGACCCATCATGCTCCTTGATGGTTCCTGCCGAGAAAAAAGCGCACGTCCGAGCGAGACCAAGAGAACGAAAGTATACGCCGCCACTGGACCCCCGTCGGCCACGTGCAAGAGCGAGCCTGGGCAAGAGTGGCATCTGGCTCGCGGCTCCACAGGGGCGCCAAAGGGGGGGAGGGGGGATAGACCAAGGCGTGCAAGCCGTTGTCACCGCATGGCTTCCAGCGATCGGAGGAGGAGGAGGAGGAGGAGAATGAGGAGGAGGAGGAGAATGAGGAGAATGAGGCGGAGGAGGAGGAGGAGAATGAGGAGGAGGAGGAGGAGGAGGAGGAGGAGGTGGAGAATGAGGAGGAGGAGGAGGAGGAGGACAATGAGGAGGAGGACGACGAAGAGACCCCAGCTCGGGGGCCGCCAGCTGACCACCTCACCGATCCGGGCCGCGCAGATCCCGGGCGCAAGCTGACATCTGCCCCCCCCTGGTCAGGCCAGGAGGGCGCCTCCCTGGACTGCTGGGACTGGCCAGGATCGGTGAGGTGGCGCACGCCTGCCTCAAAAGCAGAACAAAAAAGGCCTTCAGTGAGCAACGCTTGCAGTGAACCTTTTGGCGTTCGGTGAGCTCGCTGCAGTCGCGCGGCCCTTTGGCGCCCCCCCGGCCCCCCCTGCGAGGATGCCGCCCTGAAGGGGGGAAACACCAGCTATTGCTATCGCTCGGACCCATTATGTGTGCATTGTTCGGCTTCGTGCGTGCATGGTTTCGCGAGACGATCCCAGATGCTCCTCGATGGTCCTCGCCGACGAAAATAGGCACACGTCCGAGCGACGGCTGCTAGTAGCGCTGAACCGCCGTGTAGTCACAAGGAACCCAGACTGAGGAACGAGGCCCCTTTTTCCCATAAGCTAAACTTCGATTTCCCAACGAGCCCCTCCCCAATGAGAAGGGTTCCTTCTTCGGCGGCCCCATTGTAGCTACCCCGATGCGCACCACGCAACGCGTACCGTTCTGACACGCACGGAGCTCAACACGCAGGCTGAAAGTGCAGGTCTTGCGAAATGCGTTCATCAAAACGTGGATCGGCACGTGCCGAGCCAACACGCAGCGTGTTCGGGCAGAAGATCTGATCACAGCACGTTACGTGCTGCGTTTCAGCACGGGCATATCAGGGCAGCCAAAAACACATCAACGCCCTGGTCTCGGGGGGCCCCCATTGGCGGCGCGCCAAGGGTGGGGGAGGGCGGGGGGAGGGCTTCTAAGAAGGATGCTGCTTCTTAGAAGGCGCCAGCCCTACGTCCATGTATGAGGCCCACGCCTTCTGAGAAGCAGGGGTGCTCCTTAGAAGCCCTCGCCCCTCCCCCCGAGGCACATACACAGCCAATGGTTTTGCAGTCTGATCTCTCAAACATTGAAACAACTGTGCGCGCGTTCTTGCGAACCACCCCGAAAACCGCTGGTCTTCCAATATTGCCATCGCGTGCGACTCAGCGGGCCTCTCGCGCGCGCATGTCGAAATCCTTCGAGCGCCCGTGGCCGATAAGAGACCGAAGCGCCGGGGGTCTCGGGTGCCGCCCGGCCCCTCGATAGGCAGCCCCCCACAGGGGGTACGCGCCCGCCCACGTACATGAGTACAGTCGGATTCGATTGGACAGGGCGAGAGGACACAAGACCCTTCCGAGGGCCACATTGCCACAGGAATGTAGGAAGCATGGGTTGCGAGACACAGGACACAAGGGTACCCTTGATTTGGCAGGGTCGACCTACTAATCTGGGCCGACTGTACGGCCCCCCCCCAGTCCGCGAGACCAGCTGCGTGAAGGCTCGCGCAACGCGTAATGTACTCTAGGAACCAGCGTGGGCTCATGCACGTGTGGACCCGTTTTCGCTCCTGGCTCGCAGAGCGGCCGCCCTCTGAGATCTGGCGGTCCTGGAAGACGTCTCGGGCGCCGCGGTCCTCTCGGAACGTTCCAGAACGCTCTGGGAGCGTCCCGCAACGCTCTGGAACGGATCTGCCATCGTCCTGGCCCCGTCCGACGAGGGACTATCGCACGAGCTCTCGTCGTGAGCCTCAGCCGACAGATAGCAGAGATTCCCTGAGGCGGGCCACAGATCGGGGGGTTGTTCAAAGTGCCCCTGGCCCAAGATGCCCCCCAGCTTCTCGCTCCATCTTCGCTCCCCTGGGGCCCTCTGGGACTCGCGAGGTGTGCTCTGGAGGCCCTGGGGGCCTCCCCGGAAATCCTGGGGGCACCTTGGGCCACGGGCACGTCTATAGAGGGAAGAAAAACTGCATTAAACTTTTGACGCTCCGCGCGGATATCTTGGATCCGCTGGACCCCCCTCCCTGGCGCGCGGAGCGCGCCAGCCCCCGAAAGTTTAGGTTTATGGCGTTACTTCTTTTCTTTTCGAGTCTAGCAACACCCGAACAGACGAGCGGCACTTCGCGCGCCGCACGTCGTCGTCGTCGTCGTCGTCGTCGTCGTCGTCGTCGTCGTCGTCGTCGTTGTCGTCATCGTCGTCGTCCTCGTCCTCGTCGTCGTCGTCCTCGTCGTCGTCGTCCTCGTCGTCGTCGTCGTCGTCCTCGTCGTCGTCCTCGTCCTCGTCGTCGTCGTCGTCGTCATCGTCGTCGTCGTCTTCGTCCTCGTCGTCGTCGTCCTCGTCGTCGTCGTCCTCGTCGTCGTCGTCGTCGTCGTCCTCGTCGTCGTCCTCGTCCTCGTCGTCGTCGTCGTCGTCGTCCTCGTCGTCGTCGTCCTCGTCGTCGTCCTCGTCCTCGTTGTCGTCGTCCTCGTCGTCGTCGTCGTCCTCGTCGTCGTCGTCCTCGTCGTCGTCGTCCTCGTCGTCGTCGTCGTCGTCGTCGTCGTCGTCGTCCTCGTCGTCGTCCTCGTCCTCGTCGTCGTCGTCGTCGTCGTCGTCGTCGTCGTCGACGTCCTCGTCGTCGTCGTCCTCGTCGTCGTCGTCGTCGTGGCCGCAGCCCGCCGCCCGCGGGAGCGCCCCGTCGCGCCGCCTCTGGCCGCCGCGAGGCCCGTGCCGCCGCAGGCGGGCCCGCGTGGGGCCTCGCCCGCCGCGGGCGCGGCCTGCCCTGGGGGTCCGCTGCCGGCCTCGAGGGGCGATCGAGGAGGAGGAGGAGGAGGAGGAGGAGGAGGAGGAGGAGGAGGAGGAGGAGGAGGAGGAGGGGGAGGAGGAGGAGGAGGAGGATTGAGGGACTTGCTGAGGAGGGCTGAAGAGGAGGACCGAGGAAGAGGAGGGGGAGGAGGGGAGGAGCGGGAGGAGGGGAGGAGGGGGAGGAGGGGGAGGAGGCGGAGGAGGAGGAGGAGGAGGAGGAGGTAGGAGGAGGTCCGCAGCCTGGCTCAAGCCAGCTTGGCTCAAGCCGCCTGGGCTCGAGGTTAATCGGCGCGACCTGGGCCCCAAATCATTCTTCATCAGTGATTCACCTGCCGAAAGCAGGAAGCGACCACCACGATATCCTTCCGTAGCCCGCAGTGTCTTGGAAGCAGCCGTATCAGTGGAGCCCTTCCCCAGCAAAGGCGTTCAGCTGGCCCTGCAGTTGCTGTGCCGCCTCAGTCTCGTGGAATCTCTCTTGGTGTTGGGGATGTGGGAAACACTACTCGGCCAAGAGGAAGATACCAGAATCCGACGCGGCCCAGGGATGCAAGGGTAAGACAGACACGAACCAGCGTGGAGTCGGAGGCCAGCCCAAAGGCCCTCAGGGGGATCTTCCCAAGGCCAAGAGGGCTGGCGGGCAAGGGGAGGGGGGTCGACCTCCCCCCTGGCCTCCCTCTTTCCTCCACCGCAGCCAAGCCAGCTCCTTTGGCACCAGAGGGCAGACTGGCACCCATGGAGGTGGAAGGAGGACGAGTGGGTGCGCCAGCAGCCACCAACCTCACGGGGCAGCAGATCCAGATTTGCCAGCAGGCCCTAGACATCGTGCGGAAGCCTGGAGAACGCGGAGCCCCAGCCCAGACGGCCTTGGAGGAGTCGCTCCAGACCATGCGGGACTCGCGCATCGCGGTTAAGCCTGTCTGTGCCCAGCTCCAAGCCGCAGCAAACAAGAAGATCAAGCACCAGAAGCAGCTCGAGCGACACGAAGAACAATTACGAATGTACCAGCTCAGAGTGATCAATGCCGGCCAGCACCTCGAGCAGCAGGAGGCTCTTGTCAAACAGGGGGAAGCAGCCATCGAGGAGACTAAGATCAAGATCGAGGAGGCCGAGACAGCAGCAGGCGCGGCCAGAGCAGCACCAGCGACGCAGGAACCCCATGAGCCGAACGATCTTGACAGTGCACCTGCTGCTGAACTGTTGGCGGCATGCAAGCGGAATGTCAGCACCGTGGCATGCGACAAGCAGGCCGAGTTGGCAACCATGTTCAAGCATCTCACGGACATGTTCACCATCGAAGTCCCAGACGACGGAGTGGATGTCCTGGTGGACCAGCCTCCCCGAGGCCCCCCTCAACGACGCGCCGCAGGAGGTGATGAACATGGAAACGATGCAGGATGCAGGTCGAGATCTCCCCCATCCACCCGTGAGCCCGCTTCCTCTGGCCAAGCCCCAACGACTCCTCCAGCAAAGGCCACTGCGAAGGCCGCTCAGGAGAAGCCGCGGGGGCGGCCGCCACTTCACCTTTCTCTCAGCCAACGCGTTATCGTGGAAGACGGCAAACTTGTTTTACCCAACGTGCCGAAATCCACTGACGTGATTTTTCTGCAGGAGCACAGGCTCAGAACTCCCGAGATTCCAAATGCTCAGCGCACCCGAAGTCTCCAAGGATGGGCTAGATTCTGGAGTCCTTGCTTAGTCACCGCCCAGAATCGGAATTCGGGGGGGGGCATCCTAGTTCGTTAACACCTACATTTCGTGGCAATCGTCCGTCTCAGCTAGCGTCGTTGCGCCTGGTAGGATAATACGCGCGTTTCTGAGAAGCCTGAGTTTGGGGATTGTCAGTCTATATTTTGATTACGGGGTGAACTATATAGGGCCTGGTCGGGCCAACTGAGGATTATCCAGGAGTCTTGGGTCGCATATTCTTCGCTTGGGAGTTCCCTTCGTCGCGGGCGGTGATTTCAACGTAAGTCCCGGGGCGCAACTGGAACGCATGAGACCTGACAAGTACGACGGAGAAATGTACGCGCTTTCGTGTCGCACGTGCATCATCGGGGACAGTATGACCACGATCGACTTGTTCATTGTGGGCAGGAAGCTGTTTTCAGCTTCGAGGGCACGGCAGTAGATGAGAATGCTGACATCCCTCCGCGCGGGCCAGTTCGCATGACGCTGAGCAGCGCGACGGAGTACACTTGGGCGCAACGGATCGTCACATTCCAGAGCATACCTGCCAAACCTTCCATGGGACCCGCTGGGCCCCCCTCCTGGGCACGGTGGCACTTCTCAAGAGATAGGATCCATACTTGAGGACTTCCGTCGCCCATCAGGCATTGGTTTCAGGTCGCCGACAGGAGACGGAGAGCGCGCTGTTCTGCAAGCTTTTTTGGGACTGAGTCTATTCCGCCTGGACAACCAGGACTTGGGGATAACTCAAGGACAAGTTTCAGTGCACAGATCTGCATGGCCGAGAAGGTGGCCAATCTCACAGCTTCGAGACGATTTGGTTTTCTGCATTACTTCTCATTTCCAGGGCCCCCCCCCCGCCCAGCGAGAGCTGGTGCTTATCATGGACCACTCGCCGGTCAAAAGAATTGAAGCGCCTAATCAGCTGCGAAAGCCCGACGCGGTTTGTCAATGTGGCCAAGCGCGCATTTCAGCTTCCAGCTGGAGAAAGTCTTTTCAGGACCTTGCGGGAGAACCACAGCGAGTTCTGGCGCGCCTGCTGCGCCGAGCTGGCCAGGCTCGCCCTCGCCGACAGCAGGCAGCACTGTTTCACCAGAGCAGTGGAAACGAGGCTTTGGAGGATTTAGTGAACGTGCACATTGAGAAGGAGAGGATGGAGGCCACGGAGAGTTTGGAGGATTGCCGCGAGGAAGCTTTAGCTGGAGGCGGTAAGGGAGGACGTGGCAGCGCGAAGGCTTCGGCAGGCTATGTAGAGGATGCAATTCGCTCGCTCGTCTGCCTCTGGCTTGCGTTCTCAGGGCCAGCATGACATCCGGGCCTCAGCCTGGGGAGGCGCGCGCCCCCGAGCTTCCTCTTGAGGATCCCCTGCAGGCCGACTGCAGGACCCCAATGAGCCCCTCCCTGGAGCAGACGCGTAAGATTTCTACTAGGTTCAAGTTGTTCACGACGGCGGCCGACGGGTATCATCCACAGTGCTTCTCGAGGCTCTCCGATGGGGCTCTGGAGGTCATGGAAGGGCAATTCAATATCATGAATATCTTTGGGGGCAGCCCGACCGCTTTGAAGGAGCTGTTAGTGGCGCGGTTTCGTAAAGCAACAGGCGGCAGGAGGCCCGTGGGCTTCTTCACGAGCATCAGCAGAGTACATGCTAGGAGTCTTGCGCATCATTGCCGAGAGTGGGAGGGAGTTGCAGCCGAGCCCAAACATTTCAATCTGGCCCCGCACCGCCGCGCCAAAGACAGCGTCTGGATGACGATCGCGCGGTCGGAGATTGCTGACCGAACAGGCAAATATGTTGCGACTCTTCTAGCCGATTCGAAGCAGTGCTACGATCACATCAGCCGTCGCACGACGCTGTCTGAAGGAGGCAAGTGCGATTTCCCACTGTTCGCCCTGAGAGCCCCACTGGACCCGCATCGATGGCCGAGGCGACTGCTCATGGACAATGTCGTTGGAGAGCCGCTTTTACCGAGCCGCAGCAATGTAGCGGGCTCGTCCACGGCGACCTTCGACATAGCAGGATGCATGCTTCCGACCATCCACGATGCCACGATCGAAGATGGCACGAGCATGTCGACTCACATCGGTGATATCTCGTTCGACTCGATTGGCTGCACGGTTGAGAGCTGTTTAAACTGTCTAGCAAACTTGGCAGGCAGAGCTTTCCATCAGTCCACGTGCACCTTGAAGCCCCCGATACACATGAACAAGTTCAACTTTATAGCTAACCGCCGCGAGGTATTGAAACAGGCGCCGCAGGCTCCTGGGGAACACTCTGGAACTATCGGGAATTCAGTCATTAACTTGGGAGTGGCTTGCAACATTGGCAAAGTCAGGTCATCGAGGGGATGCAGGACTAAAAGGACTGAACGCTGGAAAGACAATCTGAAACGCCCCCACCAAACACCAGTCGCATGAGGGACCGCAAACTCGGGAAGCCCATGACAGCTAAGGTCTACACATGCGGCGTTGAGCCATCAACTTGTCACGGCGAGGAGGTCCAAGGACACTCGCCCCAGGAGCTCAATGAGTTGCGCGCGCAGACTGCGCGGCGTTTGGGCGCGCGGTCGCCTAGCGGCGGCGGCGATGTCTGCCGGCTGTTCATGCCGCTAACTGACCCGCTGCACCGCGCCAGCGCGACCCTCAGGCGATGCTTCCGAGAGTGGTGGTTGACTACGAATACCCAGGTTAGGGCCCTGGATGCCCTGAGCCCGAAGGAACTACGCCTCTCCTTCGAGTGCTCCCAGAAGTTTGTTGAGCATACCCCCCAAAAAAAACAAAAACAAAAAAGAATGGGCGCGCAGGGTCAGGAATCCCACGACAGCTTCGCTGTTTCGGGCAGAGCAGACAGGTAGGAGATTTCAACGACCTGCCAAGCTGATTACCAAGCAGGAGCTCAGGCTCAACATCACGGAATCGTCGCCGGCCCCCCTCGCCAAGCTGTTCACTTGAGATTTTCGATTAACAACAAACAGTTGACGCAACGAGCTACCCGCAGGAAGCTCCAGTTCCCGGGGGCCCAGACGTCGGCTTTCGCCCCAGGGCCAAAGAGATTCGGGGGCGAGGTCCTTGGGGCCTCCGTTTTAGCAAAGATTGGAACAGTAGCAAGTGGAGTTCGGGGGCCAAGAAGATACTCAAACATTTGGCATGCGGGACTGTACCGACGAGCCATCTTCCGTGGAAACGAGGCTACATGGTGGAGCCAACATGCCAATATTGTGGGCTGCGCGACCCGATTTACCATAGGTCATGGCACTGTCCGCACGGGAATCCGGGCAAGGAGCGACATTTATCAGGTCATCTTGGATGC